AAAAGCATATAAAATTACAAACGCAAATTTTGTAAGCTTTAGCTAATACAAAAATGCTAACATTTCAAGTGAAAAATTAGGTAAAATTAATATTTTTTCTCAAAGTTATTTAATTTTTTTTTAATATAAACAATTTTTTCAAAATTTTTTTTCTGAAGGTTCTTAATTTTAGTTTTGCTTTTTTCAAATTTTTTTTCTAGTTCTTCCACAATTTTTGTTTTTCAAAATTTTTAATTTTTTTTGTTTTCAAGAGTGTTTTTTTACAATTAAATAGATCGCTTTCAAGGAGTTTATTTAACCAGTAACTTCTGTTGAAAATTTTCTACTTGGTGTAAGATTGTATTGTATCACTTAAATACTGTCTCCATAAAATGTTATTTTAAATATTAAAAGCTGTTTACTCACATTTTATTAAAATAAACAATTCCTCCACACTAAAATTTTAAAACTAAAAGAATACACTAATTAACTCACCTGCGTGGTTGTCAGTCCTGTAGCCTCTGCTAATTCACGTTTCTCACGCGGGGAAGGATATGGATTATGTGCGTACCAGTCTCTTAATACAGATCGAGATTTCTCCTGAAAAAAGAGAATGAAAAAATTGAAGTTTTTACTAATTTTTAAATAGATTTTTAACACATATCAGACAATATTTAGTAGATAAGCGAATATTTAGTAGACAAACGCTACGAGTGGAAATTCAGGCATTCTCCCTTCCAAAGGGCCTAGGGAGGTTAACGTCGTATCATCCGAGCTATCGACAGTGACAGTGCGCTTCCAAAACTAAATCTTGAACCCAAGAATAAATTAACAGGGTGTCCAACACGATGTAGTCCTTTCCCAACTAATGTTTAACTGTTATATCTCGAAGCTTCCTCAGCGACCACTTATAAGCTATCTTTGAGTGTTAACGGCTATTTCTCCTCTCTTTCTCGCCTCTTGACTACACAGAGTTTTACGCTCTGACCCTACAAAATTTACGCGGGACCCTTTTCACCAACCGGAAGAAGGAGATCAATGTTAATTGAGCTTGGCTCCAACGTACAAGCCGATTTCGGCAGTGCTTAGTAGTGCCACAATGAAAAGCATCCAAAGTTACTGCCTCCAGAGATCTGCAACCTTGAGTTCTTGACCACAACTTTTATTAAAAGATGTTCCAAATTGATATTCTGTGGAAAGTTTTCTGACTCCATATCCGCTTGGTCAGGAAACTTGTAGTAAAAAAATCCCTTCCTACCTCAACCTGCGCCGGTATAAATCCTAAGAAGGAATTGGAGGACGCATTAGTATTAATTTTTTCAGGCATCCAAATGGCCAACCCGACTCCTTGAAATGAGGTATTCGCTTTCAATATTGTCAAGGAACAGGGTAACACTGCGCTGTTTGCTGGGGTTCTGTGTGGCCAGGGCTTAGGAAATCGCCTACTACTGAGTAGGTCTTCCTTAAAAAATTGGATCTGCTGGATGAGAACTCGCTGGCTATAGGATTCCTTAGAAGGGGTAAGCTATTTAATTATTCTTTTACTAGGAACTATTTACACAGAATTGTAATAAGAAATGCGACTAATAAGCATTTATAAAGGCGGCGGAAAATAGCTTAGACGTTCAGGTTAGTAACTCATTTTCGAGCTTAGATTTTCCTCTTTGTTCGATCGAAAATCTTTAAATTATGAATGGTATGCATTTTCCATTTGACTTGAAAAAAAGTTTTACCCTCCTCACATGTCTGTAGCAATTTTTAAGGTCACTGGTTAATCAAATGAAGCCTTTGTTGCAGCCATCATTCCGTTTAAAGGGAAAAAATCCTTACAGCAAACAAACTGCCACCTCTCTCGCACAATTCACCTGATAAGGAATTGTGTTCAAAGTCTACTTAATTGTTGCTGATTTAGGTTTTAAACTTTAACTGTCTGCCTGCATTGGGTATATGTACATATGTGGGTCCGTGGAAAACGAATGTACATATATATATACATATGTATGTTTATGCTGAAACAAGTTATAACACTACTATGATTTCATGTAGCATTCTCCCCTTTTATCGAAAATACGTATAAATCCTCATATGCACAAAGGAACTTTATATGTAGTCCAGGTAACAATTAAAAAAAAAAACGTTACCCTCCCTTTACATGAACAAACAACTCAAAAATGCAACGCTGACTTTAACAATAACGCATTGACTTTTCAGTGTCGAAAATTCAGCATGTCCTTACGTACACGTAATTTAAATTTTGTACGTACACATTTACATTGCAATACATACACATTCTCGTATGTATGTATATGCATATCTAAAGCCGCGCTCTTACACTTACTCACCTTGAAGCAGTAACTCGTCTCTTCACCATCCCAAATTGTGCGTGGCAGTGGAAATTTGCGGCGGACACGATATTTGCCAACAGCACCTAAAGGTCTTCCGCGCAGTTTTTCGGCTTCCACATAATGCGCTACATATTTGAAAAATAAACAAAAACATAAAGATGAATTTAAATAAATTTTGGTATTAAAAGAAGTGCTGGATTTGGAGTGTGCATAGGTATTTTAAATAATATCCTTTATAAAGTATTTTAATTTAATAAGTTTAATTGCTTTTTGGTCTACGTCTTTCTAATGCGTGTGAGCTGTGGTAAAATCAGGTTCACAAAAACATAAAAAAATGAATTATTGTTTTTGAATTTTTTTTTTTTAATTCCTTCATTACTTTCTTCATAGTTCGCTTTTTTAATGCAAATATATTACTCGTATCAACATTTTCAGAAAAACGTTTATGCATTTAATTATTTTCATATCAAATTCTTTGATATAAAAAGGAAAAAGAAAAAAAAATGTTGGGTGTAGTTACTAAAGTAAGTAAAGTTTATTGAAGTTTCATAGTTTTTATACGAAGTTCGAAATAAGGATTTATGTGGCGCTGGTTAGGCAAAGTGCTAAACTTTTATAAAAAAAAATATAAACATTGAATAAACAAAAGAAAAATAGCCACAACTAGTCAAAATTTCATTTGACTTAATCAGCTGACGACAAATGTATATAAAAAATTAATTAAACGCTAAATAAATAAATAAATTAAAAAAAAAATATTTTCCTTTATTAATTTTGAACATCTTTTTAAATTTAAAATTAAATCGTGGTACAAAGCTTTATCACACAATTGAAAGAAATATTAATACGCCAAAATAAAAGTGATAAGAAAATTTATTTAAAAAAATAATAAATAAATAAATTTTTAATCATCCATTTTACTTTGATTCGGTTTTGTAAGTTACATATCTTCAACATTAAAAAAATCTTGTGCAAAAAGTAAAAACATAGATATATATGTACATGGGATATATATTTTTCTAAAGAAATTTGGTTTTTGGTTTGCTTTTAAATTATTTTTTTTTTTTAATTCCTTAATCTCAAAAAATTTTGAAAACATACCTGAATGGAAAAAACTTTTTTATTCATATTTTAAGCATATTTTTGAATTGTAAATAAAAAATTTAATTTTATAAATAAGTTACTAGTTTCTATAATGTACATATTAAATTATTAAAAAATCTTGGGAAAAAGTTAAAATAGGCATATCTTTTTAATTTTGTTGCTTTTACATTTCTTTAGTCCGACAATTTCACCAAAAAATTTATGTGATTACTTATGTTTATTGCAATTATTTTGCTTCGAAATACATATTTTTTTATCTTCAGAAATTAACAAAATTAAATTTTTGTAATAAATTTTTACCGAAAGGATATATGTATGTACATACATATATGATTTTACTTCAAAATATTTTTGTTTATTTTCATTGCTTCAGATGCAACAGTCCAGAATTTATTCGTAAACAAATTTTATTTTTTTATATAAGGGATATTCATCAAAACGCGTAAATGCCTCGTAACCACGTTACCCTCGTAAACTTAATTTTGGATGGAAAACCAGTTTATTTACGAGTTTTACGAGGTTACGGGGCATTTACGTGTTTAAATGAATACCCATTTTATCTTTTTGTTTACTTTAGTATAAGCTAACTTACTTTTTAAAATTTGGCAAGTTACCTAAGCCCAGAACTTCGTTTAATTAAAAAAAAATTAATAAATCAAAAACAAATTATTAAAAAACTGAAACAAAATTATTAAATAAATTGAAAATAAAAGAAAACAGCAAAATAAAAAAAATTATAAAAGTTATTTTTTAACTAAATAAAAAAAAATTAAGCTATGTACGAACATACATACATAGATATGTATGAACTGCAAAAAATCAACACTTCCATATAAAAATTAAAAAAATATTTATTAAAATGTTTAAGGTTATAAAATTTATATTTTATTTTTATTTTCTAATCTTTGTTTTTCTCATTTTTTATATTTTTAAAAATTTAACTTTTATAATAATATATATAATAATTTTAGATTTAAAAATTTTAAAATTCTAAGTTTTTTTCTGAATTCAAAATTGTTCAATGCCCTCTAGCTGCCGAAGGGGTTAATTACATGTAAATTTTTTAAACACTTCGCTTACCTTTCAACCACAGCGCTTGCAATTTCGCATGATTATGTGGTGAGAATTGATGATGCTCGAGTAGACGATATAATTCCTTATATTGTCCACGATGGAATGCAACAACGGCCTTTGCTTTCAGCACAGACTCATTCAATTGCAGTTTATCACATTGCGGCAGGGACCAAAGAAATCGCCCCAGTCTTTCGATGTTGCCAGCCTGTTGAAGGACCTGGAGAGAAGCAAAAAAAAAACAAACAAACAAATAGTAATAAAAATCTTGTCACTTGGGCTCTACTTGTTCCCTGAATGCAAGGTACATAATCAATTCCATTCTTCACTCACCTCACAAACACAAGCCACCTGCTCTTGCGTGAATCCAAAACTGGGCAAAGTTTCACGTCCATTGCTACCGCCATTGCCATTGCCGATATGTCCAATGCTACCACCAATTCCACCGCCTGAACCAATAAGGCTGCCATTGTGCCCCAACATATCCAAATTATTATTGCTTGTACTGTTGTTGTTATTATTGCTGAGACCCGGTCCGGCTGTGCCGATTAAACCCGTCGGACTATAGGGTGGCGTTTGACGCGCACTCAGCACAGCAGCATTGGCGGCGGCCAAGTCATAGAAATCTGTGGCGGTATGTTGCAGCATTTTTTTTTTTGCTTAGTGTGTGTGTGTGTGCGCCTTTTTTTAATTTAAATTTATTACTTTTAAATCAGACTTTTTGATTTTGATTTTATTTTTTGAAAATTTAAATACTTTAACACATTTTTAGCGGTTATGCAGTTAACGATTGATGCAGTGCATTATTGTGGTTTTTTGTAGAGCTGGCGCTGCTAAAGAATCTGAAAAAAAAATATTAGAATAAAAAATGTATTAGTTTCCAAGGCTAAACTTATGAAAAAATAAGTTTGATTTAGAAAACGATTATAAAAGTTAGATAAAATTTTTGGAACTGCAAAACACTACTTTATTTGCTCTCATTCAAAATGCTTTCAACTTCATCATCGTACTTTACAAAATTCTGCCTTACGTTTGTTATCCTCCACATTTTGATTCCATATTTTTATGTTCTCTTCAGCTTTCTTTTCTTGTTAACTCTCTCTCTCTCTCTCTCTCTACTAATTTTTCTCCAAATTTTCTTTCATTTGTATGTAAATGTCTCTTTTGCACACGATTTTCACTCACGAGCGTGCAAATTCCAATTAGTTGTATTTCACAATTGGCCACCAGCCAGCTAAAAAATCTCAAATAACGCAGATCATTTCACTCAGCACAACACAAGTAAGCAATAAATAGAAGGTTCGTATTACATTTTTAGAAATTACCAAATGCTTACGTATGTATGAACATACACACATACATACGTATAATTTGAATATTTTGGTTATTCGTTTTGAAATTTCGAAAACGAGGCATTCTAAATGCTTAATTAAAAGTGAAATACCTACGTATAATTATGTATGTACATTAGGCTGGTTCAATTTTTGTGAAAAATGTGTTTTGGGCATAGAAGTGTTCGACTTGAAATTCTAAGAGAATTCGCCGAAGAAACTATGGGTATTAAATCAATTTCGAGCTGGCCAAATTGCGAAAATAGGTATTCTTCCTTAGCAACGTTTTATTTTGATGTGGTGTCATTAAGAAGTGTTCAACTTTTTTAGTAAAAAACATGCTCAATCCTTTTGTAGACTTGCATTTTTCTTAAAACATCTAACAGAAGAGGCAACACTGAACCATTTTAAAATTTTTTTACGTTTTAAGAGAAGCGTTCAGTATTTAAGGCAAATCAGATTTATCAGATAAGTGTGAGAAGAAATGTGAAATTACTATATATATATCGTACAATGCCATTTTTGAAACTCAAATGCAAGAGTTGGAATTGCATGTATTTTTTTCGTTTTTGGTTGACTATTGCTCGGATTTGCCCATATTGACTTTTCCAAAAAAAATCCCTCATACAAATTGCCCCGCCCTAATATACAGATGTTAATGAGAAAAATCGTTTAGTTAAGTAAATGGAAAACCACTCGCCCTGTTGACTAAAAATATGAAAATTCAAGCATACATTCATATGTAATACATATCGAGCCCTAACCGCCAAAATAACGTAAGCGACATTTTTTTTTCAAAATTTTCTTTTTAATGCAGAAATATTCCTGACCATCTAGATACATTTCTGCATCAAAAAGAAAATTTTGAAAAAAATGTCGCTTACGTTATTTTGGCGGTTAGGGCTCGATATTATGTATATATGAAATTAGGTAGGAAATTGAAATATTTTGAAATGCATAGAAATTTTTAACATGTACATTTAAGACACATCGAGACAAGAAAGCAGGAGCGTCCCATATCCCATATCCATACACCTATGTATGTACATTACATCAATCTCCATACAAAAAAAAAGTTTGGTACTGTTTTTCCATCGGAGTTTCAAAATGTATTATATTTTCAGACTTCCGCCAAAATATTTCGAAAAAATAATAGGATTGACTAGAGCTGGACCGATTTGAAAATAGCTCCAAATACTGAATTTTTTCTAAATAAATTGAGGTTTTGAAAATATTTTTTTCTATAAAATCGGACGATAGAAGAATTTAAACTCAAAAGGTCTGCATACAATTTTTACGAATTTTATCAACGAAATCAAAATAGTGACATTTTTGGAGGAATTTTCCAAATGGACCAATTCACGTAAATTTTAATATTTTTTCTACATATTTTGGTGGAAGTCTAAAGATAAAGATAATCCTCAATTCTTGGTGAGGCACTCTAATATACATAATATGATGTGCATTCGTTCGATATGCATATGCCGAAAGGAAAAAAAAATTGATAAGGTTGGGAAGCATGTCTAGAAAGTTTTATCGACATTTCGGTCCATAGCTTTAACTTTTAATACATTGGATAAAAATTAAGTTTTATAAATATATATTTCTTTTTAATTACGAAAATCCAGTGATTACGCTTTTGCCATTATTACAGCAGAAAAAACTCCGTAAACTTATTGTTTCAAAATTTGAAGAATCCATGAATTAATTTTTTTATTTGCCATTATGGCAATCAAATTAAACTTTTTATTGCCAGCGCACTTCCGCCCATAAATTTAGGGCATTATTTTTCTTACAGCTCATTAAAAAGGCAACATGCTGAGTAATTACACTTAATTTTTTATCAAAGCAAGCAATTTTCCTTGAGTTGGCAGATAAATATGATTTTTCATTTCTTAAAACAAATAAAAAACAAGCAAATATTGATTTTAACACCGGAAAATTTTGATAGATTTATTATATAATTTAGTTTGGAAAAGAAACAAAGTATATATGTACATGTATACATAAAAACCTGAAACTATGAACAAAAAATTGCATAAATATTTTACAAGGAAATAAAAATGAAATTCTTGCCATAAACATTTTTTTATTATAACGCTGAAAGGTAGAAACGATAAAGAAGACCACTTTTTTAAATAAGTTTTGGAAACTTATAGCCAGTTTCATCAGCAATTTGAACTGTAAATTATTTTTTATTTTCTGACAATTTCCAAATAAAATTCAAAAAATTAAAATAATTTTTCCCCTAAATTGCTTTCGTGAAATTGGCTGCTAAGTAATTTTTTTTTTAATTCTGGTTTTTTTGCATTCTTGTAGATTTTATTTCGTTCATATTTTTCGCTTTCGATTTCTTTTATTGGTTTTTATTTCATTTCTTATGGTTTGCAATTACGCTTGCTTGAATGAAAACACTTTTACGAAAATAAATCTCGCATATATGTATGTACAAACATATGTATGCACTTATTACACAGAATTCTAAAATTACACAATCTCCGTCTCTTGTCGCTCAACGCTCGCTGCTCAACTGCTCCCCAATTGCCACACTTTGCAGCAAAGTCGTGGTGTTGTTCTTCTTTGAGGGGTCATACTAGAACGGATCGTATGATGCAGCAGCAAGCGAGAATCGCTTAAGCGCATACAAATCACCAGATCGTATTCATTTTATGCCAACTCTCTCACTCTCCGATGTACGATTATTCTCGTATTATACGCTGATCTTTATTTATATTAAATACATACACACATGTATCTACCGCATTAGTGTATGAGAAAAGTATCTGTTTTCATTTGCTTATGCCCCATAGTTATTCGATGGCTTCGGAAATCGAAAGGTGGGAGTAAATTTGGGACTTGAAAAGTGATGAAACACTATGAATATGCGGCGAGAGGGGAAAATTGTTTTTTTTTTTTTAATAATTTAAAGGTAGTAATTTCGTTCTCTCAATGCCAAAAAAAATACTAAGTACTGAGTTCTTCTTCTTACTTGAGTCTCGCCAGTTGCTCAGACCAACTTCATGGGGCCGAGTGGAAGAATATTTTCCCCTGGAGCATGACGATCCAAATTGATACTCTTCGTCGTAGCAATTGTATATGCGCAGTCTACAGAATCCAATGGCCTTTTCTCAGCCGTACCAGAATAATGGAAGGTTAAATTCCACTGCTAATTTATATCCGGACGTTACTGAGTTGCTTGTTGCGGACCTTGGTCCGAGTCGATGTCGGTTTCTCGAAATGTACCTGTCGTCGTATTACGATTGGTTTAGCTTGATTTTTTGTATTTTGATCAGCGGGTACCAAAGTAATTTTTTTGGATGTTTCGATCCTCTCCGATATAAATAATCCATTTCTTTGTTACCGCGAGTATTCTCGTAAAGGCTGAACTCGGACACTGTTCGACCATGCACACTTTGTTTTTCCACTTTGATGTTCAAGTGGCGAAGTATAATTTTTACTCAACTGTCGACGTATGCGCTACATCATTTTCCTATCTCTCATGGAACTACTTTTTTCGAATTTAACCACCGTCGATTCGTACTCCTAAATTATAATTAGGATAAAGGCAGACATTCCAGCAGTATATCCGTGAATCGTGGTACTCGTTCCGTTTGTGTCAGCCATTATCATTGGGAGGGGCTTTTTAGAGCTTACATTTTTAAAAATTTTTATTTTTCTTATCATTTTATTCAAACCGATACTGTTCCATGGGGTATTGGTTTGGTGGAGAGCAATGGAGAAGAACAGAATGTGCACATGAGCAAATCCTACGAGTGGTTCTTTTGGTGTCACTTCTCTCGCCAAAAAAAAACGCTATACATAATATTATTCTTGCATATGTCTCAAGCAATGGAGTTCCCGAAACAAGTACAATAAGAAATAAATCAAGTATTTGACTAATTTTAACCTTAAAACGTTTATTTAGGCGAAAAAGTACCGAAATTACTAATTTTTTCATTGTCACTCAAAAAAATTACAATCGCATGAATATCTTTCGCAGCAATTTTTAAATTTTTTAATTTTAATAATTTTAGATACTTTAAAATGTTCAAATAAAACGACGAAAATGTTCTTGCCAAAACGAACGAATCTAAATAGTGTAATAAAACTAGTGTGTCACCAAATAAAAAATTACATTGAGTAAAAGGTGACTGATTTGAGAAACTAAAATTTACAATTTTTATTGGACAACTCGAAATTAATTCTAAAATTGGTAAATACATGAAGAAAGTAATGTATATGTGCATAAGGAATACTGCGTAAAAATCTCCGATGCCAATATTTAATTACTTTTAAATAATATGGCTTTTTGGTTACGGTGCTACGGGGCGTATACGTTACATACGCAACTACGGGTATAAATATGAGCACGAGTGGTTGTTTTTTACTTTTTTAGTAGATCTTTTTCAAAATTTCATTTATGTACTAAATACAATTTCGCATTGAAAACCGAAGATATTGAATTTTCTAAGATAAGTGTGTCTCCACTTTCGGCCAAAAACACGTTTTTG